TACTGCTGTGGTTTTTTAAAAAAAATATTGTTTGCCATATATGCCTAAGGTAGTCACAAGAACATAAATAGAATTACCTAGACTCATACAGGAATGACAACCCTGCCGTCTGCCTTCCCTATCAGAGGTGTGCCTTTACTATCCCCTATGATCTTATTCTGGGTCTTGACATCTGTCTTAGAGTTTTTGTTGCTCTAAGGAGTCACCATGACAACAGGAACTCTTATAAAGGAAAACATTTAATTGGGGTGGCTTACAGTTTCAGAGGTTTAGTTCATTATCATCATGGTGGGGCATGGGGGCATGCAGGCAGACTTGGTACTGACTACATCTTGATCAGAAAGCAACAGGAAGTAAACTGAGACACTGTGTATACTTGAGCATAGAAGACCTCGAAGCCCACCCCCAGAATAACACATTCCCTCCAACAAAGTCACACTTCCTAATAGTGCCACTCTCTATAAGCTTACGAGGGCCAATTACATCCAAGCTATCACAATGTCCTTGGATTTCTCACAGGTACCTGCAAGTAGGAGCATGTCTGTCAGAAGCTGCATATCCTCTGTCTTTTGAAGACAGAATGTCTAATTGCTGGCTGGGAGCTGGGCCTTTTGTTGGCAGAGCTTCTCTTGCCAGTGCCCAGAGTGTTTGTCTTCTAAGAAATATAACTTCCCAGATGAATACTATCAACTCCCATCATAGAAAAGAAGGAAAACTATGGTCTATCTCTATGAGAATGCAATCATGTAGACTTCAGATTTCAGACTCAAGGGATGGGTGTTTGAGAACAGTATGTGTTCTTTCTGTCTTTAAAAGATCAGGTAGAGTGCACAAATGCTCTGGAGAGCTGGAGACACTGGAGGTTGAACAGCGAGTTCTTGATGGAAGGAAATGGGGAAAGATACGGAGAGGTAGCCCAATGCGATGCCAGTGCCCAGCACCCTCAGTGTTGGCTGAGCCAGTTCGTGCTGGCAGTGGGATGTTGACTGAAGCACAATGACAAACTCTGATCATGGGGCACCTGGATTTTGCCAGACCTAAGTACCATGTGCAAAATTGGCTCTCTAAGCCAGTGTCTGAGTACTACACATTTCTTTGTTGTATTTTTGTTGTTAAAATAGCCAGTTTGTTCACATGGCTCAGAAACCTGAAATCACAATGTTCCCTTTCTACCTGGGTCTCTTTCCATTTGCTTTTGCTCTCTGAGGACACTCACCACTGTTAGTTTCTTACGTGTTTTATAGATGAACAAGCTGATGCAGTTAGGTTACAGACTTCACTTCTGCACCTGCCTTTTCTTCCTTTGAACATGTACATCCCTGAGCTCTTTGCCTATGGCTGTATTAAACGTTTCTTTCCTTCTTAGATGCAAGTACTACTAACTTGAGTGGCTGGACCATCTGTACTGATCTGTAGGTTGTTTCCAACTCTTAGCTATTACAAATGCTTGATTGGATAGCCTGTGCACAGAATGTCCCATATCTTTAAGTGAACTGAGCCCCTGTATATGGAACCTGAGTCCAAGGGCATATGATTTGCCACCTGGAAAGACATCATCCAGTTGCCCTGGATGGAGGCTAGGGCTGTTCACACTCCTACTGTCATGTGGGCAGAGCCTTTTCTCCATCCTTCTTGGCTCTGCATGCATTTATGTCTCCACCAGGCTCTGGAATGCCGTCCCTTGGTAACCAGGGAGCTAAATTCTCAGAGAATGTGTTTTCTAAATGTCTTCCCACCTCAGACTGGGAGCTGGCCTCCTGGTTGAGTCTGCCACTCCTGGCAGGGTGACAAAGTGCCCCAGTAGTGTCTCATTTGTAAATGGGGGCATTTAGTGTTCTAGCAGGAGTCTCTTGGATTCTTGTGAGTGGGAGAGTGAAGCATTGTGGGAACATAGAGAGGCCCTCAGAAAATACCACTTCTTTCTAGGGAAGACTCTAGCTGTGTAAGATGTAGCAGAAGTACTGTCCAAAGAACCAAGAGCCTGGAAAGGGAAAGTAGATCCACTAGCTGATAAGCAGGGTTGGGAGGATTTATGGATCGCAGGAGAGGACACAAGAGAAAGGACTGCGTCAGAGCTACTGGGTGCTGCCTAACACTGTACTCTTTTAAATGGGAGAGTCCAACATCCCCTGTTTAAAAATCAAAACACCCTTTCATTGTATGTGACAGCTGTTAGGCCTGGCACATGGTGTCTGGCATCTTACTCTCTGTGCTTATGTAGCCTTGTCACAGCCCCCTCCCTGTCCCTGTCCTCCCCTGCCCCACCCCCCACCCCCGGTATCTCTGGTCTCTTTTTGTCTTCTTCCCACCAACATAAACCCCAGCATTTACCAAGCCAAGGGAACCTCTGACTAAAAGGCCACAATGTCTGTAGCCAGGCAGGGACTGCTTTAAGAAGTCCAACCAGGAAGCCTTCCTTGGTACTGAACACCCCTCCCTCAGAGAGGAGCAAGTACTTCTTCTCTGTCTCCTCCCCACAATGCCCTGCCTTTGTTCTTTTGCAGAATGACTGTGAGTGACCCTGACAGAGGCAGAGAACTGATCTCTGGTGTTCTGGAATACCCTGCCCTAGGTACTTCTATAACTTGGCCTTCTACAACCTAAGCAGGCCTCAGGCGGGCATCAATGACAGCTGCTGTCCTGGTCTTGAGTGCTGATAATACTGTCCCAGGGAGGGCTCTTCCCGGGTGGTGCCTACCACCTCCTGGGGCAGGAACGTGTCACTGAGGCCCTAGATTGGGGTTTTGTGCTGTTTACCTATCAGGTCTTCCAGGGGTTCAGCTTTTTGTGTTTGTAGGTTTTGTGAGATAGGGCCTCAAGTGCACCTTAGAATGGTTTTGAACTAGTCCAGGATGACCTTGAAGTCACAGCCCTCCTGCCTCGCCTCTCTAGTGCTGACCTTACAGGTATTTACCACCATACCCTCTATGTGAGGGTTCACCTTTGTTATTGAGACAAGACCCAAAGCAGCGCTGAATAAGAACATCAGGACCCGAGTCCTTGTATGTTTGGTAGCTCTGTGATCAGCATACTCTTTAGTAAACCTGTTGCCTCCTCCTCATACACAAAGTCAAGTGGGGCTGGGTGTCTTTTCCTTGTCTTTCTCTGCCTTCTCAGGCCTGGGAGACTAGATAGCACGCCAGTGCTTGCTGGATAAGTCAATTCCCAGACAGAGTGAGCTGTTAACCTCTGCCAGTGGGTGGTGGAGCCCAGCCCTTGTCACCTGTCACTGATAAGTGAATTTAAAACTCTTGCTGAAAGGAGAGAAATATGGAACAGATGTAGAGGGCCTCCAGCTGCTACCAAGCAAATGTGACTGTCTTCAAGCCATCGTCTGACCCAGTCTCGGTGCCAGGGGACGGGGAGGGGAAGCGGGTGAGAGAAGGCAATTTTAGCTTCTCAGCATCAGCTCCTGGGGTAGGTGGGATGGAGGGGGATTTTCCAAAGGTACGTTTCACATCAGCAAGGGAGGAGCTGACATGCCTGGACCTTCTTTCAAACCACTCTTCCCTGCCGTGCTGGTTTGAACAATTTACCTGCCTTGGTAGCCACTTACTTTAAGTCATGGTTTCTGTGGGTGTCTGGGCAGGGTTTTGAGCCCAGGCCTCACTGGGATGTGACCAAATTCTGGGCCAGAGTTCTGTGTCTCATCAGAGGCTAGCTGTGGTAAATAGATTTCTACCTCCAAACCAGCAAGGGAGCTTGACCCAGTGCGTGGGCATATGTTAGCACCCCTACCCTCACTAGCTTTGTTCTCACCCTCTTCCCACCCCTCCCTTACTTTACTCTCTTCTTCTTTCTGCTTCCCACTCTTCAGCTCAGAAGGGATCTTCTGTAATGTTACCTAACCAGGGAGTGACCGCCGCCATAATTCTTTGGATAGAAGCAGACCGCAGTTGGACCTGTGAAGGCATTAACACCAGGAAGCGGCATTGGAATGCTGCAGAGAGAGAGAGAGAGAGAGAGAGAGAGAGAGAGAGAGAGAGAGAGAAAGAGAACTCGCCTTATAGAGATGCTCCCTAGGAACCTCAGGGGCAGCTAGACTTCTTATGAACGGTCACAGTGTGCTGTGCTTCCTCTGAAATGGAGTAGTTCTTTCTCTTTCATCCCAGGATACTGTCAAATCCTGGAGTCCTTGGTGGCTCAGCATTCTGTGACATCCTCCTAGACCAGCAACGTGTTTGTACCCTGCCCTTACCCTTAGTCTCATCTCCCCATTTGTAAGAATGCATTCGAGTGAGGTTTTCTTGGACCATTATATAATAGTCAATGTCGATTATTAAATGATAATTTCCAGCTTCCTTCCTGTTAGTCATTTAATTTCATTTGTGTGCAGAACTCAGCAACAAATCACTGTCAGTCTTGTTAATATGCATTCAGAGCAAAGAAAATACAGTTTTAGAACTGACCCAGTCGGTCCTATGTTGATGGCAATTTTGTTGTTGCTTTGTTTTGTATTTTTTTATTTCTTGTGTGTGTGTGAGTGCCCTCATGTATATATGTGTGCCTGCATGTATGTATGTGTGTCACTACATGCATGCCTACTACCATGGAGATCAGAAGATAGATTCCCCTGGAAGTGTAGTTACAGACAGGTGTGAGCCTCCCTGTGGGTGCGAGGATCTGAACCCAGGTCTCCTAAAAGAATAGCAAGCTCTTCTAACTGCTGACCCATGTCTCTAGTCCCTTGACAGCAGTTTTTAGAAGAGAGAGAAACTACCATCTTAGAACCATGGCCATGTTTATAAAGTACTGATGTTTATAAGTTTAAGGGCTAAGTACCCCCTTTTCTGTTTTCCCCTGAGCTAAGACCAACATTAGCAACTCTTTCCTGAGAGTAATGTTCTTATCACAGTTAGGGGAAGCAAATAAGTTGGGCTTTAGATGCAAAGTGGTCTTGCCGTTATTCTGGACACTGGGATAATAAATTCCTGGGGAATGGTAGGCCTGAGTGGACCTAAAGGGTGGGCGATCCCAACCTGCTTTGGTTTCTTTTCCAGGTTTCCCTGTGCTGTGGAAGGAACTAGATGATGTAACCAGCTCTGCAGGAAGACGCACATGGTTTTACACTGAGCAAGCGCTCTCAGATCCTGTGTTAGTTCAGAGTTACTCGAGAAAGAAAATAATGTGACGGTTGTTATCAGAGAGGCTTTTCTGGAAGTGTGGGATACCCGTGAAAAAGACTGCCTTTCCCCATCTGCGAAGTGGACATTCTTAGACTCCAAAATGCCAGCCAAGACCCCAATTTACCTGAAAGCCGCGAACAACAAGAAGGGAAAGAAATTTAAACTGAGGGACATCCTGTCCCCTGATATGATCAGTCCTCCCTTGGGGGACTTCCGTCACACCATCCACATCGGCAAAGAGGGCCAGCATGATGTCTTCGGAGACATTTCCTTCCTTCAAGGGAACTATGAGCTCTTGCCTGGAAACCAAGAAAAAACACACTCTGGCCAGTTCCCTGGGCATAATGACTTCTTCCGGGCCAACAGCACCTCAGACTCAATGTTCACAGAAACGCCCTCCCCAGTGCTCAAAAATGCCATCTCTCTCCCAACCATCGGAGGATCCCAGGCTCTCATGCTGCCCTTATTGTCACCAGTGACATTTAACTCCAAGCAGGAGTCCTTTGGGCGTCCTAAGTTGCCAAGGCTCAGCTGTGAGCCTGTCATGGAAGAGAAAGTTCAGGAGAAAAGTAGTCTGTTGGACAACGGGAGAGTCCACCAGGGAGACACCTCGTGGGGTTCCAGTGGGTCTGCGTCTCAGTCCAGCCAGGGCAGGGACAGCCACTCCTCCAGCCTGTCTGAACAGTACTCCGACTGGCCCGCGGAGGACATGTTTGAGCATCCCGCCTCCTGCGAGCTCATGAAGTCAAAGACTAAATCAGAGGACTCCCTCTCTGACCTGACAGGCTCCCTGCTCTCGCTGCAGCTGGATCTGGGGCCCTCACTTTTGGATGAGGTCCTGAATGTCATGGATAAAAATAAGTAACCTGGAGTCAGCTCTTTTCCTTTGGAGTAAGAGGTACCAAAATAAGCAGAAAACAAAAACTCAGCTAACCACAACTGATGGAAAGAGCTGCCTGGCTGGGTTTTTGCAGCCGCGTGATGCATTTTCTAAAATAACGTTCCTGTTCCTACGAAATATTTTTTTAACCACCTTGCCCTGTTTGCAAAAACAATTTTGAAAACAATAATTTTAAAAAATTAAAAAAAAAAAACCTGTCCTGGCAAAAAGAGAGAGGAAGTGAGTCAGAGCTCATTTCAGTGGGCATGGCTGGTGCTCGGCTCAGTTGTGTTTGTTTGCAGGCACGCGGAAATCCAGGCGCTTGAAAAGGGCTGGGTCATGGGTCTCTCCAAGGCGCTTGACAGCATGTTGTGAGAAGGAAATCAAAACTCGCTTCACACCTAAGCCTTCTTTTTTCCTAGACTCTTTTGTATATTGTATCCTTTGGGCTCACCATAGCGAATTCTCCAGTGTTAAGATTTTACTGTTTTCATATTCAAACAACCTTAAGGGACCGGGGTTTTTTTCTTGTGATTCTTATATACCCCTGTATATTATTTCCATGTTCCAGAAGTTTGACTGTCAGCTACATGTTGGTAAAAACAAGCAAGGTGTTACTGTAACTAAGTTATTTTTAAAGTTGAAATATATTTTTATGTGCATTTGGCTTTTTATTGCAGAGTCTACATTTTATAGATAATACATCAAGTGTTACTTGTCTTGTTTCCGTTGGGGCTTCCTTGTAAGCCCTGTTTGTGTATTTGAAAAAAAAAAACCCAAAAGAACAAAAACCTATTCATTATCAGTTTTTCCCTCTTGTTCATGTGTTATCATACTTCTAGTAATGCCAAGAATGGTTTGTAAAGTGCGGGGCACAGGTGCCCACAATGCTTCTGCAAAGACTGGAGTTGGGTATTTTAGGACAGCTCACACTCCCAGTCCTAGGTGTGTCATACTACACAATAAAGAGTAAATGCTAAAATGAACTTGCTCATTTATAGTTATAAACAAGAACCAGAAAAGAAGATTCTAAAGATTAGCTAGTAATGTACCCAAGCCTTTAAAATAGACTGAGATATACGCCTAAGTGTTCTGCAGTTTTCAATTATTTTTATTAAGATTTGATTCTAGAAATAGGAACACAAGAAATAAGCATGTGAGGTCATTTCTGTTGTTTTATAAAAGCCTTAGTGCTGAGAGAGAGAGAGAGAGAGAGAGAGAGAAAGACAGAGAGAGAGAGAGGAAGTGAGAGAGAGACACAGAGAGAGAGACAGAGACAGAGAGACAGAGAGAAAGTAAGAGAGAAAGTGAGAGAGAGACAGAGAGAGAGAAAGTGAGAGAGAGAGACAGACAGAGAGAGAGAGACAGAGAGAGAGAGAAGAGGTGGGGGCAGGGCTGAGACTGTAGGCCTTTGCCACAGACCCGACTTGTTAACCCCGTCCTGTGCGTGTCTCCTTCCCACACCTGCACAGCCTGTTCCTACAGACTCAGATGTCCTGAAGACAGCGGCTTGTCATGCTCTGTAAGTCCTGTGGACAGAGACCCAGCAAGGAGATCCCCAGGTGCCCTGAGGCCATTGGTTAAGGAATCGGAACAGAAAATTACACATAGATTCCTCTCTTTCTTCAGCTGTCCTCCCTACTCTGCTTGTCTACCAAGGGTGGGTACCCCTTGGTGTGTCCCGGAGACTCCTCCTCAGCAGCACCAGTGACTCCTTGGGGTTCAGAGTTCCTGCACCTGTATCGTTTGGTGTGTGAAATAGCCTTTGAACTTACCAGACTCACTTTGGTGGCTAACCAAACAGAGGAGGAAGCCCCGAGTCTGTCCAACAATTCTCAAGTCTCTTCCCTTGGCCCCACGTTGTTCCCTTTCTGTGGGCTCCCACTCATTCATGGTTCAGAAACCTCTTAGCCTCTTCTGAATCTCATCAGGGAGGCAAAGTCCCATGAGCTCATTTGTTTGTGTGTTTTGTAGCCGGTGTCAGCCAAACTCTGTCAACAAGTTTCCCATCTTAACTACTGATCGGATGCAGCCTCACTGTATTCTTTGTCTGCTGCATGGTCTGAGGGACCGGGGAGGACTGCCCTCATCTTGGTTGCCGCCTCTCCGGAGGGCAATGGTGAAGAGTAGTCCTGGCAGGGTTTCATCTTCTAAGTGGCCGTGCATCCCTCATGCATTTACCCGTTTGACTCTTTCCAACCGAAATACACATTCTCCAAAATACACACTTTCTCTAGACCAAACAACTCAAAATGCACACACATGTTCCCGTGGGTGTGGTTGACATAGCAACAAAGACCCTTCTCTTTCCAAGGAAACAAAGCCTCCTCACAGCTTTCTGATGGCCTGGTCCGTTCCCCGGGGAGCAGGTACCTTGGGTAAGTTCTGTCCTGCAGTCACAGGCACTTCAGACTCACGCCTGCTGAGAGTCGATTCGATGCTCTCAAGCTGTATCTCCCCCTTAAAACCTAATTTATCTTCACTTATTTAAAGAAGACCCAAATGCCCGTTATTTGTAAGCATGACGAAGCCACCTGTGTGTGACCCAACCACCAGAAATATGTCCTGTCGTTTGCATAAGTAGGCAAGACTTTCTGTAATTAAATGTTTTCGTGAGCAGTGAGGCCTAGCAAAGAATAAACCATATTATTTCAGCCAAAGATTTTATGCTAAAATAAAAGTATCAGCATACTTAGCTCTTCATTAATATAAAGTCATTAATTTCAGTGGGTCAGTATCACTGTTAACAAGCCATGGAGGACCGACCATTGGTGAGTAGGAAAGAGAGCCCAGGTCTCCAGGATACAGCCTCATCCTTGGCACATGTCACCAAGAGCTGGCACTTTTCCCTGAAGGCCATTGCAAGTGTGTCCATCATAGAATCATGGAGTGGCAGGGATCTACGAGCCCATGAATTAACTTGCTAACTATTTTAGGAGAAAAAAAACATTAAACATACATTAGGGAGTGATTCTAATCCTCCCTTTAATAGAGAGGCTGGGGAGACTGAGTCCTGTTACTCTGAGCTGAAACAACAGAGCAGGTCCACATGATGCCCTTTCTGCAGATGTCCTCACCTTTGGGAATTATATTAGCAGCCTAGCCACAGATAAAACCCTCCGATTTAGACTGGAAGAATAGTTCATTTTTTTTGCTCTTAAGCCAGTAAAGTATATAAAGTACTGTGTCCTATGCCCTTTTTATAAATATAAGACAACTGTCCTATGGCCCCACCTGTGCTGTTAGGTTAGATCCAGCAAAATAACATTCTAAATGTCTTTAGGTTAGATCCAGCAAAGAGAACATTCTAAATGTCATTTCACATGGTGAGCCCCCTGAAGACTTGTTCCGATGTGTGAGACGTGTGAAAGCCGGAGTGTTGAAAAGTAGTCCTATGTGTTAGCTCACGGTGCTGGCTGAACCATACACTCACTTCATAAGGGAGGGAAATGATCGCTTCTAAACATGCTAGCCCAGTTGTTGAATCCGGTTTCTGCGAAGATCACACACTTCGTTTTGAAAATGCACAGTTTCATCCAGAAAGCGTTTCATCTGAGAATGTTCAATTTTCACTTTACTCTTTGAGCAAGTCTAAATGTGTCCTGCTTGTGTCGTTGTGTCGTTCTGAAGTATGTTGCTCCAGAGAGCCTTGTGTGTGTGTGTGGGGGGGGTGGAGGCTCTTATTTCAGGAAGTGACGTGTAGCAGCGAGATTTGTTCTACAACCACTGTGCCGCGTGATCGCCCATATTTATTTTTAAAATTCTGATAGTGGTGACCCATTCGGTAGCTTCTGAGGGAAGTCAATCATCTTCATCCCTTGAAGGTCAGCTAGATCTCCCCGTGGGAAGTAGACTGCCACAGGTCTGAGTCGGCGCCATTGTGCAGTGTAGCCTTAAATACTTCTGACACCTTCCATCAAAGTTAGCAAAGCACAGTGAGCACATTGAGTCTGGTGCTCGCCATAATAAAATCATCACTGGGGCAGGAAATAGAGAATGTCATTTGCTGTGGAAGGATTATTGGGGGGGGGGAAGCTCTGAGGTTTGTGGAAGAAATTACTGGGGCAGCTTCATGGACGAGGAGTATCCAAAGAGATTCCTTGGGAGATGGGTAAGATTCTCTTAATGAAGAAGGGCAGACTTGGGAAGATAAAAGATCAGGGCAAATAAAAGGATGCACCCCTACTCTGAGTGGGATTTTTCTTCAGAACATTCCGGGCATAGGGAGTGGGATTTAAACATACACTTTCAGTCCTTAAGGCTTAGACTCACGTGAAGACCCAGTGGAAGAAGAGGACACTTTGGAATCAAGTTGCTGAAAAGCTGGTTCCCAGAATTAATTGTTATCAAAAGTTGGTCACCATCTTGGTTTTTAAAACTCACACCCAGTCTATAGGGCTTGAACTGAAGGCCTTGATCCCAATTTAAAACAAACAAACAAACAAAAAAAAACTTCATTACATTTTCATGGAAAATTCTATTTTTACCAAATAGCACCAAAAACTGTTCATTAACACTCCAAAGAATATTGTCTTCATGTGCATGGTTGGCCTCATTTATGAGCAAAACAGGTAAATGCAGTGTGACTCTGACCAGACAGTTCTGCCACCAAATAGTTCCTCCACTGTACAGCTGCTCCATTGTTGGAGATGCATTCATCTGAGTGAGCATCATTTAAACATGGAGTCCCCTGCAATGATCTAAGGAGTAACATCTGAGAGTCATCAACAATGGGGTGTGAGCTTGCCTGTCAGAGGCCAAGTGTAGGAACGTGTAGGTCCCTAGCAACTTGAGCGAGTCTTGTGGGAGGAAGAGACTAGGACTAGAAGAAGCAATGAGATCATTTAATGCATCTTTTTGCCTGGGACCAGAAAAGACCAAGAAGCAAAGAGTGAGGAGATGAGAGAGAGAGAGGTAGCTCTCACCAAAGCAGATTATAGAAGTTCTTGTTAGCTGGTCTCCCTCCCTGGTGCTGGAGAAGTGTGCGCAGCTCTTGTGATTAAATCTAATTTCAAATCAATCTAATTAGCCACTACAGAGGATTACCATGAGCTTCCCATGAGTGACAGTATTCCCCTCCCACTACAGTCTCAAGTCTTCAAGGCGTTGTCTTTGATGCCAAATGTCGATGTTTCTACGTCACTATCTGAGGACTCTGCCCTGCCCACCTGAGCAACAGCAGCTGAGTGAGGGGATTCTTTTGGTTTGGCTTTGGTTTGGTTTGGTTTGTCTTACAAGACTAGCCATTAGGAATGCCCCATAGACACATGGAATTTGGAAAAGTCTAAAACCACACTAAAAAAATAAAGATTGGTGTTTTCACAGCAGTAATGTCCAGTCATACTTTTTTCTTAAAGAAGGGGGATTGTTACAAGTAGAAAACCATGCTTGTCTGCACACCTTTACCCCTCGCTGCATGGAAATGGAATTGGGATGGGATCAGAAACAAGAAGCAAGCATTTATGGTGCTCTGGCAGCAGCTTTTTCACCATAAATGGCAAGAAGAAAGAATAGATGAACACAGTGTTAGATATTAGATTAGCATCCAATAAAATTCTCTCCTCACAGTTTGACCATAGCCCCTGTGACCAAATAAAGCAGTGTAGTGAAGCAGCATTCTACAGTAACCCCACCACATTTCCAGGGGCCGGGGTGCTGAGTTTACTGTTATTAA